TCCGAATCTTATTACCATTGTCAATTTGTCAGGAAGAAGACTTCCAGATATTATCAGTTTGGAATGGTACGATCCCAGCGTGTGGGACTATTCTAAAGTGCCTTTAAACGATACCATACTACGGTTGGTTCTTGTGAGTGAAATTGGGTAGACAGTACACTTAGGCCGTCGGTAGCTCTACTAGCACGAAGTCACAAGCCATCATGACCGAGGGTTTGAGTGAAGCTGGTGTTATTCAGATTTTTGATCATTCTAGATAACACTCTCTTTTCCAGAAACTGTAACTAAGGTCTGCTCAGCATAGTTGTGGTAAGTGGGTGTTGAACATACCCAAATGTGCCTCAGCGAGCGTCTGCAAAAGGGATTGGCTACCCGACCTAGTAGACGGGTATCCTCAAATACGAGTGGCCAGCTATTATTATTATTATTATTATTATTATTATTATTATTATTATTATTATTATTCTAATGATAATATTAATAATATTAACAAGAAGAAGAAGAAGCCTATTTTACACTAGACTAAAATGGTATATAGACTGCTACTTCGGATATCAACATTGAGAGGGTACTAAAACTGACATTTCAGGATTTAGATAGTAAGTAATCATTAGTCTTGACTTTTTTAAACTTCCTGAAGCACACTGAGTGTAAGGAGTTCGATATTCTTCTTAACTAGATATTGTTTGATGTGTGCGACCTGTTCAGCGAATGTACACACTTTGAAGAAGCTACTAACATTCAAAAGAGAGCTTTCGTTCAAGAAAAAAAGCATGTATTTTTAACCGGGACACAACAGGCTGGGGCAACGTTTATTTCTAGCTTATCCACACCTCCTATTCGACAGAGACATCTTGAAAATGAAACGCTGACCTTCACATAAGCTAGAAATCAAGCGCGATATGAGGAAAGGACTATCCTAAATTCTGGAGCCTATTCTGCTTATATCCAAACAAGTTATCAAGCGCCTTAACTTCTCAGCAAGAGGAAAATCAAAAGGAGGAGGACTCTCGGTTATCCGCTGTTAGCAAATCCCTTTTAAAGAGACATGCGTACAGCCATACTGAATTGTGTTCGACTCGGGGAAAGAATTACTACAACTGCGAGAAGGAAGATCATTCAAGTCTGTTGTTTGAAAGCTGATAAGTATTCTGTTCCGTTACCCGTCATAGCGACGGTAACTACTGGGCCACAGGAAAGTAAAATGCCCCGTGAACAAAAAAAAAAAACCAAAAAATCTTCCGGCGCTAGTAGATTCGGGAAGTAGTCAAATTTTTATCGACACCAAGATAGCTAAGTCTATCGAATTTTATGTTGGGCACCTCAACGTGGTGTAATGGTTAGACAGCTTGTCTTGCTAGATCATTTACCACTGAGTAGTGAGTTCGATCCTCACTGGGTGCCCCATACTTTCGGCCTTGTGTCACATGTAAGCCGGGCTTAGAAAATCACTATAGTATTGTACGTTAGATCTGCTAACTCTACTGTCAGCATGGTTTTAAAAATGTAGGAAAATCTAAAGCAAATCTGCCAAGGTGTGCAGAAACTTACAAAAAATTTAATTCATCCTTAATGGATAATTTATGTGCTGATCGGATCATCGGGCAGGCCTTTCAAGGCCCGCACAAAAAAAAAAGAGAGAAATTTTCTGAGGGCGACAGACCAACTCTAAAAGCTTGTGGACTTGCTAGCATTTAGAATTTCACCTCCGCATCTGTTTGAAAATTTGCCGCCTGACTGTAGACCTATATCTGCGAAATCGTAAAGATGCTCTGGAGTAGAGAAGACATATATAAAGAAAGATATAACAAGTCTGGTTGATTCAGATATCATTTAGCCCAGCAGATTTTCTTGGAGAGAGCAATTAGGGGTATCTAACGTACGGGAAACTTAAATAAAAGGGTACTCATAGATTATTCACAAACAATATATCGTCATACATTAAAAAATGCTTATCATCTAATTAAGATTACAACGATGATTTCGAAAAAGTATACTCTGTATTCTAAACTAGACTTAAGTGCGTATCATCACGTAATATATGCAAATCAGACGGCCCTAACACGGATTTTGAAGCCGGTGGTAAATTGTATAATTTGAAAATGATGCCGTTTGGGATCACAAATGTAGTTGCTGGGTTGAACGGGCGCCACTAACATCAATTATGTTTAATTTACTTTGTGTTCATGTTTAGTTTGTTTTGGGGTTCATTCCCTCCTCTCCCATTCTTCATCATTAGATTTTTATATATAATAATTTATTATCATTAAATTTTTATGGTATGGGGTGCGTTTTGTAGGTTCCTCTTGAGAGAATGCGGTATTATAGTGTATGGAGGATTGATTGGTGACGGACGAATTTTTATGTTGGATGTGAAAATTGTAATATGTGAATGGGTCGTTAATCAGATTAGCTAGGTATAAGATAGTGTTGACCAGTTTCAAACCCTCCCTTTTTTTAGCCTTGTGCTCTAATAATGTATTTTTCTACGTAATAAATAACAATGTAGTTGCTGTGTTTCAAAGAATTTTGGATGAAATAATTGAAAAGCAAAGCCTAAACGGAATATTCTCATATGGAGATAACGTAACCATTTGTGGTATTAATGAAAGATAACATGGCACTAATTCTAAAATAGAAAAGTATATTATATAGGGGTGACAAGACTTTCGAACCAACGTTTAGATCTACTGCATACAACGCACAGTGCAATAGTCAAGTGGAGAGACTGAACGGAAAGGTGTGGAGGACGATCAACTGAGCCTTAAAATCGAGCGGTTTACCTGTGCATAAAAGAGAAAGCGTTTTATCTGACGCTCTCTATTCGATTCCTTCCTTATGGAGACAGCCACGAATTTTACTCCTCAGGAACGGATGTTTTCTTATCCGAGAAAATGTACCCCAGGAAGCGCTTTTCCTTCATGGTTGACGGTTCCTGGGAAACTACATTCAGAACAAGTACAAGCCTACTCTACGGGAATTTGAACTGCGGATGTTTCTCCGATCACAACAATCTTAACCGGTTCATGTCTAGAGTCAACCGTTATCTTCCCCTCCTATCCATACAAACTACTCCTTAGCCTAAACGTCTACCTCCAGTTAAGCCACTAGACTTGTACAGAGTAAGCCTTACTTTAAAAGAAATTCCTACGTCCATTTAAATGTCTTCACCCCACTTTCCGACTTTGGCGAAGATATTTTACTTCTAAGGCTGAATAATAACTTCCCACTGCTCTATACCTTATTTGTTTGGTTGCCCGTTTTGCTTACCCCGCACATTCCGTCTTCGGACAACGAATGGTTAATCTTTCGTATTTGTTTTCCTTGTGTATATTGTCTAGGTGATATAATTTTCCAATTTCTCTATACGAATCTTCAATTTCGCTATCGTTTCGAAATACGTTATTCTTATATTACTTACATCGAGTGATGTCTGAATTTCTCGCCTGCTACACATTGAAAGCGTGGAAATACACGTGGGTTTCTTGGTTTTGCAAGAAGACATTGATCAGTCTGAAAAAAAAAGAAAAAAAAAAGAACGAAATTTCTTTAAAGACATTTCTTCCGGTGTTG